GAATATCTACAACAACTTGAGGAATTCGCTTGCATGAGCCATGCTCGCCGCTGTTGCCATTCCGTTAATTGTTATAGTGGTAATGTCGAAATGTTCCGCGAGCAAATATGAATGAAAAATTCCTTCTGTTCATATTTCGTCAGTGTTATGTTTTTTTCCTGCTTACAGAGTTCCGTAAGAATGTTGACGCCGCCACTCCAAAAACGAACACATCTCCCGTTCATTTGTGTGACGCGCGTTTTTTTTTCGCCCATTCCAAGCATGTAGTGCAACGAGCGCAATGATTTTCACGCGTGGAATATAAAAAATGCTGAATTCGTTTCGTCTTCTGCCTGCTTTTTCTCTCACTCTCACTCGTTCGCATCTCATGCAGCTTCTATGTGCGGATACATAGCGAATTCGTGTGCAATGAACGTGAGTGCGGAAGAGTGAGTTGGTGTGAATTTTATAGACATTCTATGAGAATGAAGGAAAAAAAGTACGTCTGAAACTGTGTAAATTGCAAGAAAATGTTGTGTATTTTTCAAGAGCAAGCGAACGGCAGCTGAAACAAGTACGGCTGTGGAAAAAACGCAGCGACAACAGCGAGCACGACAAAAAAAAAATCATGATAAATATGAATATTTATTTGAATATTGTGGAAGGTTAATGTCAGTCGCGAAAGTGAATTTTGTGCATCGTCGTCGATGAACTTTTTCTACAACACCAAATATGCAATCTTAAAAGCTGTCGCGGAAAAATCAATAACACGAACAAACTTTCGTTGATTTTTTCCCCGTTTGCGTTGCTCATTCATCGCATAGTTTCAAACTAATTTGGCTGGAATAAGGTCACGCGGCATTTTTCAAATCTAAAGTAAAAACAATTGAGTTCATTAATATCTGAATAAAATATTGCCCTAATTTTCAAGACGAAATCAGTAAAGTTATTCGAAAGGATGGTTTAGAATTTTGGTTTGAATTCATCATTTTCATTTATCATTCTATTGAATTAAATTTTAAGTCAAAATACAGCGCCAAGAAACAATCAGTCAATATACATTTAAACACACGCTTTAAGGTCACACCCAGTTCATTTACGCCTCTTTTTTACGGTCCGGTCTCGTCTTTAATTCAATGACTATTTATTTGAACAAATGCTTACGGCTTCGGCTGTTGTACATTTCGGCAAAAATAATGCCACCAAAAATGTACTGTTTTCGAAAGCCACCTTTCTCAATGTCGACCGTCGGTGCTAATACGATGAACGGTTCTGGGCGCGAGCCACTACCATTTTGCTCTTCTGTCCCCGTTCATTTGCGTTTCATTGTCGTCCAATATTCGCTGCCCCGTTTCATTCTGATTTGTTGCATTCGCAATTTCTCATTTGTGACCTTTTCATATGACCCTTGTCCAGTTATTTTGGAAACTATGCGGTTCGTTGAATATATATCAAATCAGCAGCAACAAGAAAGGGTTGACATAAAATGAAATTGGATTCTCTTCGTTTTGATTTGATTTCATTTTTTGCAAGCGACATTTAGCGAGTGGCCAATGTTTTGAATTTCAAATCGTTTGAAAGATTTCCGGCATAAATTCAAATCGAAACCTTTTTAAAAAATAGAACGAATTATTTGAATATTTCGACCGTACGTTTCAAACTGAATCGAAACACCGGAATTCTCTTCAGATATAGTTTCGTTTGATGAATTTGAATGTTCAAACCCTTCTCGTAGCGATTTGGATGCAGGTAAAGATTTTTTTGTCATCGGCAAGAGTTTTCAGCGTGTCGCATTCATCAAGGGTAGGCATAATTTCTTTGGTGGTTGTTTTGCGACACTGCCGTCACGATTGATTCCAGGTAGACGAAGGTATTGTTAAATTTTATGCAATCGGCATCAGCAACGGAACGGATTGTGAACTAACACAATAAAAATATAACATCCCGAGCTCATTTGCATATTATCGAAACAGATGTAAAATGTACAGACACCATACACGCAGATGATCAAATGCCTGCTATAAAAATTATAAATGATACGATTGTCTAGTCTCTTTTTTGGGCTCGCGTGCGTTCTTCAATATACTCACCATGCACCGCTGCATCTCATCAAATTAAACAAATCAGAGCGTTACTCATGAGACATGTGTTTAATTTATGGCATGAAAAATGTGTTTTTTGAAGAAAGAAAGAAGGACTTATTTTTTTTCACATTTTGATGTTTCATCAAAATTTCCACCAATTTGACGTCTCGGATCTGCTTAAAAAAGAAAGGGAAATTGAAACCGGACATGAAAAATTGCACAAAATCCAGAAGTTGAATAATCAAATCATTTTCTGCTCAATTTAATAATAGATTCCAACGATTTTCGTGTAACAACTGGTTTCATCGAATTCAATTTGGAAATGAAAAGAAAATACGTGTGCAGATCCTCCAAATGGAATGATGAGTGCTTCTGTGGCTGACTTTGGCAGGAAACATCAGCATCAATCGTGACAACAAATTATTTCCGATTGTTCTTCAATGACATTTCCTAAGCTAATCTTTGATGGAAATCAATACAGCTACAAAATCGATTGGCTTTGAATAACGAAAAGTTCAGGGAAAAGATGAGATTTAGTCAAATTGTAGTCGATTTGAACTCCACAATGACAGCTTCTATTATTGTGATTTCTAAAAACGAATTTCAAGAACGAGTTGAGGTAATAACAAATTTGAATTAATGGGCAAATTTTCGAAAATAAATATTGATAAAACCAAAACGGTATGATTTGAGTACGCCACAGAATCGTCGATAACACAAATGGTTCGATAAAAAATTGAGAAACATCGAATCCAAATGCACGCACAAAACATCGAAAAAAGGCGTGGTTCATTCAACGAATACCCTCTCCATTTTTTTGATCCTTTTACATATGCGTTCACATATGCGTACGTATTCATGTGTGCTCGTTCAAATGATACCCTCATCGCACTATGTACTGCTATATATCGTTCCGCATACGACGAATACATATCCATCGGGCCATATGTGGAGAGTTTACAAACATACTTGCTTCAATCCTACATACATGAATCGAACCCTCACACGCGTGTGTGGTATTGACTTCCATACAATACCCTAAATGCAGTGCGATATTTGGGCAGAAATGAACCGACAATCGATTTATATACTTCACTGAAAATGCTGTGTAAATAATAGAGACTGAATGGAGATTTACATGCATTACGAATGGTGGTCCAACGAGTTGAAATGGACAAATTGCTTTTCGCGAGAATTTATTCGATAAAAAAACATTATTTGCGAAAATGTTGCATACAAAGATTGTCTATAAAATACGTGTCATTTTAAAGAATAACGAATTTTAAGAATTTCATTCGATTCTTGAAAAAATATAATGAATGGCAAAAGACGATTACGCACAAAGTTTTAAGATGTATTTTCTTTTTTCAAGGTGCCTTCAAAATCTTCAGCAAGTAACTTCAATTCAATAAAATCTTCATGTTTTGCTTCGTGACCTTATTGATACCATGCATGCTGTTAAACTTCTTTTGGGCTAGCAGAAATACGTTCAATTATTTATCGCCACTACACAGGATATAATGGTATCTATTCATAACGACCAATCAAATTCAATTATACAATGGATATCCTTGGAAAGTTCACGATTTGTAGTAGAAATTTTACATGGTACTTCAGTGCACGTTTAGAAATCTTAATCCTCCGGAAAACTCGAATTATTTTACCAAAACAAAGAACTGTCTCATTGAAAATTGAAAATATATGAAAACAAGATACGTAAGATTTCTGAACGTACATGTAATACTCTAGCACAAAGTGTGCGAATGATTTACTGAATCAGAAAGTTCGTAAGGGGATAATAGTTATATTTGTTACCAAATCAATGTATTAAACAGCTTTAGATTTGAAAATAAATGTATAGAATAATGATTGTTCACTATAATTTGAAAAAATTTGAAATTTGGTCATATTTACACAGAATTCAATATAAAGCGTTTATATGCATAACAATATTTTGATATTATCATAGGACCCCGTGTGAAAAATTTGTGACTGACTAGCCAGCCGTCTAATTTCGGACTTTTTGGCTGACTATCAGTAACTAAAAGTGATTATCTCGAGCAAAATATTTGACTGTAGTCAACTTCAGTTATAGTCATCTAGTAGCCAAAAAGTCCGAAATTAGACGGCTGGCTGAAAGAATAACTAAAAGTGATTATTTCTATACAACATTCTTGAATTCAATCAACTTAGCCAGTTTTAGTTATTTGCAGCTACATACAACTGAATGACTGTCAGTCATTTTATTTGCATACGGGACACCATAAATCATGTGTATTGTTGTACTACTTGTGTGTTGATATATTTCTGTACTCGATAATGCACTCCGATACACAAACGTTTGAATAGAGAATCTTACATTTGAATACAAGGGGAGTGACACCAACGCTGGTTTCACCAATTTTTTCAATTGTTTCCTAATATATGCTATTTTTGCTAGTTTCCCTCAATGAAAGTGCTATTTTTTGCTAATATTTTCTATGTTCAACGTGACAGTTTGACAGTTCATGTACAAGTAACACTCATCAGGTTATTGTTGTATGCTTGGAAAAAAAGCAAAAAATTAGATTTTGGTAATTTTTCTAATCTTATTTCATAGAAAAGAACAAATCGTTCCATTTAAGTTCATAAAATAACTTTGTTCTAAACGGTTAAAAACAGCAAATAACAAATCGCTATTTTTTCAATAATATTGCTATTTTTGTTTCTTTCCTCTAGTATTTATATGAACTCCAAAAAATTGCTAATGGTGTCTCTCCCCATGTTTGCATACAATCCAAATGTGTTAATTTAATCATTTTAATCAAGTGTTTCCGCCTTTTGTCAACAAAGAGTAAACAATTTGAACAAAATGTTGTGAAAAGTCAGTCGAATGGAATGCATTTCAGCTAAGCCCAAGATCATGACCGTCTATTTTATGGTATTAAACAACTCACATTTATAGAATTCAAATGTAGTTTTATTTGGTTTTAAAATGAATTACAGTTGCGCATTTACAGCAGTTGCGAATACTGATTACTAAAAAATAAATAATAAACAATGCCTCAGTAAAAGAGAAAGGCGCAATAAAGACAAGCACAATAAAGGCACTAAGTATGGATATTTCATATGTATACAAAAATAAATCATTTTGAAACGTATTGTGATATGTTTCCTATTTCGGTAGAAAAAATAGATTTTTGTAAATTATCACAACGCTTTTTCCATTTAAATATTCGTTGCTTATGATTCGACCATTGGTGATCTTTGGAGTTTTGATTCTTGATTTTTAATATATTCGGAACACATGTGACTTGGATATTAGTATTTCTGGAGGCCTTCTTGTGAAATAATTGGACTGTTGTTGTTTTCCTTCTCCGAAAGGCTATATTTTTCGCAGAGTGTATCTTGCATCCAGCCCCCAGTAATCTTTTCTTCTTCGACCGCTTTCTGTTGTTCTTTTTGGATCTTTTTAAATTGCTCGATTTCGTAATTGTATTTCGGTGTTGTTATTCCCAGAGCAGCCGCAATCTTTTCTCCAACATAATCGCAAGTAGCCAATACCTTGTTGCCACCTATTAAAACATAATCAATCATTGTTGCCGGACCTTGTCCTTTCTGAAAATGTCAATAGAAAGTAAAAGCTGGTTAGAAATCGATAAAATTCTATTCATTCCAATCACATTAGCTTTATTATTCTATCAGCACGCGATTCAAGGTCAAAATACATTAACAACAAGGTCATTGTGTCGTATTGTGTCAAAAAAATCGAAGGTGTGAGTCATGGATACACAGTGTGTACACCTGTATACACACATGGAAGCAACATTGGTGTAGGACTTACCTCATCATCTTTGTTTACAGCGTCCACTTCATCATCTGAACTGTATTCTTCCATTATTCCATCGCTGAAATGCAATATTCGCCTGGGTGTTTTCACGTGCACTGATGTTAGTGCAGTTGGAGGCTGTTGTTCTGAATCACTCAGCTTTGAAATTATTTGCAACTCCGTCATTTTTACGCACAACGAAACTGCTTTGTTCCCACTTGGTTAAATTTAATCTGCACAAGTTTTTAATGTAGATTAATTTCAATTTAGTTGAATGGAAATGTGAACTGGGATATTTTTTTGGGAAAATGCACTCCAAACGTATTTACGCACCTGCTAATACTGACCTGTGTTGATTTGTTTGGTTTTCATTCACAAATGACTGACACTACGTGTCTGTTGTTGTTTATGGCAATTTCATTGTCAAATGCTACTTTCCAATTTTGAGCATACTGTTTCTGGCGCCATCTAACGTTGATAGCGTGAAATTTTTGGAACCGAAACGAAAATGAAACTCTCTGTTTATAACTGCCCTGATTTTCAGATTTAAGTAATCCGCTTTAATTTATATATTTATTTACAATATTTTCATCTTATAAGATGAGGACTATAGTTTTGTTTGTTCAAAAACTGTAGATTAGTTTTTTTATTCGTAAAATATTCAGTTTTTATTCAATAAATTTCAATATCGTAGTCTCCAGTTTATGATAAAAGGCAATTTATGAAATTATTTCAAAAGATTTTTAAATAAGAAACTATTGTTTGTCATACATGTAAAAGCACCGGTTCCACTTTTACATGGCTGCCCAACCATCAGTCGACTTGATGGGGAACTTAAACTATCCAATTGACTCTTTACAATGGCGGACTTCAAAAATTTGAGCGTGGATTCGAATGACATTTGTTGCAACGGTGAAGCTGAAGACTCAATGCCAGAACGACTGAGTGGCTTGAAAGTACCATCGAATGTCATGTAGTCAGCAATTAATAGCAAATGCCGAGGATCGACTGTGATACCGTATACCTGGAACACCTGTTGTACTTCCTACAATGGCAGAAAAATTGGTGGAATGAGTAAATGTGAGAGTTAAATTCCGAATAAGAATAAAAATGAACAAACCTTCACAACAACTCTGGCCGCTGCTTCGATACCATACGTTTGCGCCATAGCGTGAATTTGATTTGTGTACAGACGATTTAAATCAAGCACCTCCATATGTTTAAACATTTCCTGTTTGATAGAGAAAAAAATAGCCAATTATGTTACAAATTTAAGTATATAACTACTCCACTCCTTTTTTCATAAGAAAATGGTGAAGATACTCACTGTAATGTTGATACCATCCGTTTTCAGGAAAATGTCATCGTTTTTGTTATATGTGATCGCACGTTTGATAAGTGGCACTTCGGATATAACTGATTTTTGAGCGACTTCTTTCAATACAATTGAAAGGTCAACATTTTTATACGCCATATTCAAATGGAAGGTCAATTCACACCACAAATGTGTATATTTATCAACTTTGTATTGTGTGTTATATTCATTGGACTCAAATCCAGCGAGTTTTTCCTCTTCGTCTTGTTCTTCAATTATATGATCCTGAATTAGATCCATTTCAACATCGGACTCATTATTATCAGACGCAACTTGTTCTTCAACAGCCGCTTCATCGTAATCACATTCATCCATGGCTTTGTTTTTCAATTTAACGGCAGTTGCGTCATCATCTTCTCCGATCGCTTCATCATCGGAACTTTCGTTGGCAGCAGGGCTTGCATCATTGTCTGGTTCCCTCTCGTCGATGTCACGGTCTTGATAACCTTCGGCCGTTTTCTTTTTCTTTTCTTCTGCACCGATATCCACTGATGAATATTTTTCCTGTGCTGCTTTTGCGATGGCTTTGAACATCAGTTTGAAAAATGATTCGCGCATGTGTCGAAGAATTTTCTTTGGTGTCACGGCAAAGTCTTGTTCGTAGGCATCACGTTGCAAGAAATTGAAGCGAACACAATAGTTTCTTGCTCGATCCGGCCGCAAAACTAAGTGTGATTTCACATTTATGGTCTCCAAAACATCGGCTACGGTAACTCGAGCCATTTTCTTTCGCAGTTTTTCGGCTTGTTGTTCCATATCCCGGTGTTTCTGGAATGGAATATCGAGCGATGGAGTTTTGATATTTTCCGTGGCAAACATAAGAATTTCTCGAAGACGCGGAATACCGAGAGTCACGTTCATTTCACCTCTACCAGCAAAGTGAAATGTGTTCAGTGTCATCTGCGAGGGAATGGTTGATTCGATTAGTAATTAGCAGGTAAAAACATAATAATAACAACAACGACAAAAACTAGCTAACCTGTGTGGATGGTTCTCCGATCGATTGAGCCGCCAACAATCCGACAGGTTCCCCAGGAGCAGCCAATGATTTCATTGTTTTCATCGCAATCACGTTTTGGAACGAATCCGAATCAATATTCAAATTCTTCATGTAGTTCACCATTAAACCTTCGACGTGCTCGGGCAATGAGCTGAAATTACAATCTGGCTGATATCGACTAACTACTGGATCTGGACGTGTAATGCACTTTTTCGAATATTTCGCTTTTTGTTCGTCATCAGCTTCATTCCACAGCTTCACAATTTGCTGGTCAATTTTCCGACGGCCAGACTTTTTACTTATTTTATTGGGATTTTTCAATTCGATATCCGACACAATTTCTTTGGAGAACATTTGGAAGCTGGTTTCACGTCGTTTGCTTCCATTCGCATGCTTTTTGAGCCAAGAACGAACCTTTTTCTTGTGCTTTATTACATTGTCATAGTTTTCACTATCTTTCAATTCGTCCAAGAATTCATTGTTTGGAATAATATTTTCCATATTGTCAACCAGGAATGGGAATTGTTTGGTTTTTAAAAACTGCGATTTTGAAACATCCATTCCGTCTTCACCGTACATGAACTGAACCACTGAATTATCACTATCACGTACTGTCATGTCATAGTGCACATTCAATCCTTCCAAATGCTTAATCAAACAACGTTGCAAATAACCAGAACGACTGGTTTTTACAGCTGTATCAATCAAACCCTGCATGGAAAAAAACGGCATTTAGTAAAACTATTTCCGTTCGGAATAAAGAACTGTGAAGCCTATGAAAGAGGAATGGTAACTTACTTCACGTCCAGCCATACAATGGAAGAAGAAATCTTGTGGTTGAATTCCCGTCATGAAGCGACCATCGATAAAACCGCCGGCCTTTGGACACATCTCAAACGGAGGAAAACATGGGAGCGTACGTCCAGATATCATCATTGGCGGTCTTTTACCTTCCAATTCAATTTGCCCGAGCAGACAGGAAATTTGCATAGTGTTGACTGTCGATCCTTTGGCACCAGATCCAACCATTAGTTGAAGATTGTTTTCTGGGAATTTACATAGCAAACCGGCTGGCAAACAGATTCTGTGGAAAAAAAATTGTTAAGTGATTGTTACTTCTTTTTTCAACGAGAGGAAAAGAAGTTCTTTTTCTCAAAAGAATGAAGGTTCACTCACTTGTTGATACGGTTTGTGTAGCTGTCTAGCGCAGATTTGTATGATCTATCCAACACTGTTCTGAATTTCGGGTCTCTATGAATGGCTTCCGCCATTTTTTCGGCTAAAATCTCAAATGGAGTGTCTACTGGCAATTCCAAGGCTGTTGCTACCGCCTCTGGACCGATCTGAAATTAGGTTATCAAAAAAAGAACATCATTTCATTGAACAATTATATTGGCAATATTTTCACTACCTTGCGACTCTTTTTGATGACCTTTCTTCGGTTTTTGTCTGCGTTTGGCAAAACTAAAATATCATGAACACCAAGGGTAAACCCTTCGCGTTGAAGGAAGAATGTAAAGAGTTTCGAAAACGATGATAGCAACTGTGTCGAACATTGTCCTCCGTACAATTCGTACATGCAGTGAATCAATCCGTACGGTGTTGCACCATAATGGGTTTTATCCAGAACACCAACCATTAACTCGCCTCCACGAATGATGACTTCACTTTCAGTCATGTTGATATCGGTCAATGGTGTGCCACCGGCCAACCAAGGACGCTCTTCTTCTGTTTGCCACGATTTTACGTTCGTTTTGGCCGTTGACTTTAGATTGATTTTGTGTTCTCCTTGTGGAATGATATTCATAAGAACAGTCGACAAAATTTGTTTACCAGACCATAGTCTGATCGGCTTGATAATTGTTGGTGGTAAGAATTTGATATCCTTCGAAATGTGTGCCAATGCAACGAACACCAATTGTTGATAGTCTTCTCTGTTGAAAAACCGACCTCTCATCGACATTTTTACACCGGAAATAACGTGATCTTGAATCAAACCGCCAAGCGGCGTTCCATCCTTCGCTACCAAGTATTGATTCGGCACATTGATCAAATTATAAGCTTCACTGCGGCCCAATTCATTTTGTGGCACATGAGCATTCATTTCGTCACCATCAAAATCAGCATTGTACGATTTACAGTTGGAGTAATGTAATCGGAAAGTTTTCTCTCCCTTAAGAATGCGCACTTTATGGGCCATTATACTGTTCTTGTGCAACGTCGGCTGACGGTTCAACAGCATTACGTCGTTGTTCAGCAAGTGTCGATGTACGATTTTTATACCTTTTTCAGATGGAGTCAACAGCATTTTGGCCAGACTTTCACGCTTAGCTGGATCAGCTCCCGATACAATTTGCATGCGACCTTGTTCATCCTCAATAAAATTGGCACTGGAAATGAAATGCGTATGACAAATTAGTTTTACACTTCGAGAAAAGAAAATGCAAGTAACTCACCCTGGATGAACGTTCGGGCCATTGATAACCATTTTTCGTAACTCGGCAACATTCCATGATGTAACTGGTACTGGATAATTCAGTTTTCTTGCAAACACTTCGGGCAAGCCAATTTCGTCAACGTTAATATTTGGATCCGGTGTTATGACAGTACGAGCGGCATAGTTGACACGTTTTCCCATCATGTGCAATCGAATGATACCGGTTTTCTTTTCAAGGACCTGCTTCAAACCCTGAACACCGTGCGTATTCTGGCCTAGTGTACTATCCCAAGTTTGATCGACGCATAATTGCAATTTTTGCCAAGAGTTATACATTTTATCATACGGCGTATCTCCTGCGGCACTATCATATAATGCCTGTGTTTCACTCGCCTGTGCCTCAACTACGCTTCCATTTATCTTTGAACTAATTGCTTTAAGCAGAAGGTTCGCTTCAACGATATTCTTTAAAATCGTCGTTTGTGGATGTTCTTTAATTTCGTTCTGAAATTTGTTTGCTGGTCGAACGAGTGGCGGTGGAACTGGAATCACATCCATAAAGAAAATGTCGATCGCATACTCAACATCTGCTGGTGCATGCATCAAAACTGGAAACAACACTTTCAATAAATCATCATGCATATCGTACACTTTTCGCACGTATTCACGGCATTCGTCTGCTAACAGTGCTTTGCTCACGGTTTTGGAACGACCTAAAGTATCATTTCTATTAAAAAAAAACGAAACGAAAATGCATTGAAATGATTGATTTTTCTGTCAAAATCAAATGTTTTACTCACAAATCCGAGTCGAATTCCGATTTTGGAGCCGATAACATCAACTTTTTGAATGAAAACTTGACTTTCTTTAGCGCCTCTTTGCAGTGAATGCATCGTTTATTTGGGCTACTCTTGATCGAACTATTAACGATTGATGTTCGCAATGCCTCGGAATTTTTTGTATTCTCAGCTACATCGCATGATTTCAAACCGAAATTCAATAAACGTTTGGATTCTTCTATTTTCGCCGCTTTCTCTTCGCTCGACTTTTCCGCAACAACTTCTGACTTGAATATTTCAATTTCCTGAGCTTCGATTATGTAGCCAGCGTCCAGCAGTTTCAATTGCAATACTAAAATTTCCATAACATTTTCAGAAATTTGCAATTGGAAGCAGCTTAAACAGGTGATTCGAAGAATGTCGTAGACACTTTTCATAAAAATCGGATTGTAAACAAGCATCGACAAATCAATGTGGCCCATATGACCGTTGCAGTGCAAAGTTCTATAGCAAGTAGCGCACGGATCCGAATTGATGGAAAACGGACCTGAAAGTTAAGGTAGTTTGTTAATTGATAAGAGAATTGATAATACACATGTTTCAAATGAATGTCATAATCTTCTTGCACTGCAGCAATTTCTTACCCATTTTCGGATCATATAAACCTCCCGGCAACGCATGGCCCAATGGATCGAATAACAGTGGAGTTACTACCTTGGCTACACTTAGTGCACGTATATTATTCGGGCTAAACACCGAAAATCGTATATTCTTCATTTCCAAATGATGAAGCTTCTTCATGGTGGTTGAGGTTAAGTCACTTCCAATTTCTACAGTAAATAAATGAATGTTCGTTCGTTCCGCGTTAAAAATCCATTAATCATAACCGTAAATTTACGAAACTCAAAATTTCCAAGAGAAATTTTTGAAATGTTTATTCAAAAATCTAAATAAAAATTCGTTTTGCGACCGGGCACACACCGCCGATGCAATGTGTTTTCCAAATTAAATGCAATGTGCGTTTGACTTGACAGCTACTGTCACTCGCTTGAATTGTCAAAAACTGCTACAAAAATTCTAGTGGATTTTCTAACCAAAGAAAAATTGCTTTGACGAATAATATGAAGCCGAAAATGATTGAAAACGGATTCAATTACTCACATACCTTGATGAGATGATAGCCTAAATTTCATTTCTTTCTCTTAATTATTAAATAAAACAAGACACAATGAAATTCCATATGTATAAAAATCGGATTTATTATGCTTTTAAAATGGAAATGAAAACTTGAAATTGTCGCATATTGTTGACTCTTTCCTCTTAAATCTATACGTGGTTTCGCAACGAAATTTTGCTTATTTGAGAACTGGTAGCTTATTTGAAGGTGAATAAACTGGAAAGAAAACGCAAATCTAGTCTCCTCCTTCCTTCTTCTCTTTGAGTGCTTCCTTGAAACGTTCCTCGAACAGCGACAGCTCGGAGATGATATCGGTGATGGCATTCATGAAAGCTTCTTGTGGTGAATAGTCACTTGTTGTCTGGATGCGCAGTACGAACTTATGCTCCAATGGATGTGGATTTTTGTAGCCAGCGAACAAAACATGTGGGTCTTTCAACAATTGGTTGCGGATCATGTTGCCCAAAGTGTGGTCTTCTTTGTTTACCGTGAAAATTGCAGCATTCGGCACTTTTGTATCGAGCTCTTTGACGATTTTCTTCTCTCCCTCATGCAGCAAAAACGACTCGAAGGTTGGTGGCGCATTCATTTTGCCTTTGCTTCGAAAATGTTCACCTTTTCAACTGAACTAAAATAAATTTTGCTACTTTTTAGTGGAAAAAATTGTTGTTCGCCTGAATTGTGCTTGTACACTGATGCGACTTTGTCACAATAGTACGTTTTGAGGCTGTTTGGTGTCGCTGTTGCGTGCATATAGATTGTACGCGCCGAAATTCAGAACGTCATTGTCAAACAAACACGAAGAACGCTATTTCAACACTTTTGAAATCCTAGTTTACAGTCGGAAAAATCAAAAGTAAAAGAGGAATTGCTTCGAAAGAATCAAGCAATTGATTTATCCACGATGCCCATCGCTCGATTCAAGGGTGTTTTACTTTGCAGTAGCGAAGATAAGGTAATTACAAATGAATTTATGACATATTTTTCCAGAAACACTGTTTTTAAGAAATGTTTGTTCTGTGCTGCAGAATCACCCGGCTACTAACCTTATAAGCAGTTCAAGCAAAAAATGGAAATGCGAAGAAACCGGATTGGATTCGGTGTACGTAGTTTTGCAATTTGAAAAACCGACAAAAATCAGTGGCATTGATATTGGCAACGAGAATTCATCGTTTATCGAAGTGTCAGTTGGACGAAGTGGATGGCCGGTTGAAAGATTCAAGGTTTGTTTTTTGGGAATGTTGTAACAGTGCGCATTAATGAGTGCGCAATTTAATATTGTAATTTTATTTCGAATTCAGACAATTTTGGTGTCATCATCGTTCATGACAATAATCGACAGTCGAAATTCGGAAAACCCAAATCGCGTGCGGTGCTTTAGTAGAGACGCACTGATGCCAGAAGTGGCGGAAGAAAAATGGGAACTCATCAAAGTGACTTGCACACAAGGTTTCAACAAACATGTTCTATTTGGATTGTCGTTCATCAAAATTCATACACCAGACGCTGTTGCAGCATCGGTTTCAGAATCTTCACCCGTTAAACCAACTGTACCAAGTGTTACAAGTGTTACAGCAAGTCCGAAAGAGAAGAAAAGTTGTGACGAGGCATTAGGCTTGCCGAAAACCAGTGTGTTTGCTAAATTTAGAATGCGTGTCGACTCATCTGATTCATCATCGGATAAAGAAGCTGAGACTTCATCATCATTGTTTTCAAAATGGAAAAAAGAAAAGGATACTCCGCTCAAAGACTCACACAATGTCAGCGGTGAGTTTATATGTATATAAATAATGAACGCTTTGTTCTATAAAGTACCGCTATTCAAACAGAAAAACCATATTTGTTTCAAATTTGTTGTTCATTTCAGCGGCAGCAGCGATTCGAGATGCATCGTCATCGATGTCCAAACTGGAACAATGCACAAAAATCAATCACAAAATCGCAACCCCAACGGGAAAGACAGAAAGGCCAGTTGATAATGGTGACAAAAATTCGAAAGAAGCGCGACTTAACCGATACCGCCCGGCCATCTTGTACGACGAGGACGATGAAAATACATCGAATCCAAGATTGGAGAAGATTATAAACGAAGACAAAGAGCGCATTGAACGCGAGCGAATGGAATTGCTCGATAAGAAGAAGGGAAAAAAAGATATTTCACGTGAGGAAAAAACAAAGAACAAAATGGAATCGTCAGCTAACAAGTTCAAAGTGTTTTTGCAAGATGACATCCCAAGCCAATCGAAAGACAACGGTACAAACAAACAAGATGATAACGATGATAACGATGATAACGACGATGACGATGACGATGACGATGATATTGTTGAAGTGAAAGCATTATCGCCAGCTAAAGTTGATCTAACGGCCACTAGCTCACAAGCATCTCGTTCACCGTCCCCCGATCCAAGTACACCGCCAGCTTGGAAGGTAAAAAACAAACGTCCATCGACTTCGAACAATCTCAGTGACGTTGTTGACGACGATGACGATATTTTTGACGAGAAAACTCAATCACCTGCGAAGGTTGATCCGGCGGCACCTGACAGCCCACAAGCATCGCGTTCACGGTCTCCCGATCCAAGTACACCACCAGCTTGGAAGGTGAAGAACAAACGCCAGTCGACTTCAAACGAAAGCAGTGCCAGCAAGCGCAGCCGAAAATCACCATCACCAGAGCGCAACACACAAAACGACAAACGTTTTGATGAAATTTTGCGAGGAGTGGTGTTTGTTATCAGTGGTATTCAGGTAAAATACGCTTTCATCAAATAGTTTGACCAATTTCCACAATACATTGTGTGTATATTTTCAGAACCCAGAACGCGCTGATATGCGGACACAGGGTCTTAAGATGGGAGCAAAATACAAGCCAGACTGGGACGACTCATGCACACATTTGATGTAAGAATTTTTATTACATTATGATGGCATCAATTCCTAACCTTTTTCTCGATTTTAGATGTGCCTTCAAAAACACTCCGAAGTACAAACAGGTGCAAGGCTCTGGCATAATCGTGAACAAAGACTGGATTGGTGATTGTTTCACGCAAAAGAAAAAGCTACCTTGGCAAGATTATCAGCTGTAAATTTTCTTCCTTATCGCCATTTGCAGTTTATACATACTTATGTGATTTTGTCCCATGACAAAGTGTTTGTCGTTCCGAAAGAAAATTTCGTTCTTATATACATATAAATCTAAAAGTTCAATTTGAAAAACTAGAATAAAAGAAGTTGAATAAAGACACAGAAAATTCATTAATAAAATCTCATTTGTTCGGTATTATTTGTCACAAAGTTTCGTATCATATTTATTCATATTTATTCAGAATTTAAATGAACATAAAGTTTTTTTTTTCTTGAGCTTGAGTTAAAAAGTGACAGTACAGAAAAAAAATGTCCACTCAAAAGAAAGTGTGTAATTTACAACGTTTGCTCTTTGCGAATAAAATTAGAGATAATTTATAATATGTTAATCGTAATATTTACATGTAAAATATGTTCTCGCGTATGGCTAATTAATGTTTGTCTAACCTCTTTTTTTGTTTTAAAAAACGTATTTAAACGACTAAATGACCTGTTACGTTTTTCTGCGAATTTTGTTTTGCTTCTACGTATTTCAAAAATCGTCCATCTGTTGCCCTTAAAAAGGTTGTTCTGTTTTTGTTTGTTTTTTTTATTCTCATTTTTTCCTTGTAGCTTAAATTGTGTTTTAATTTCTTGTGAAAAATATTTGCTTAATATGTTCAATCCTTATCTAAGCGACTTGCGTTCAATTTTTTTTCTCTCGTTCACTAAATCTCTCCGTATACACGAACTGGTAAGTATACTTGCAATAAATTCTATTCAATTTCATTCATTCTATTTACTAATCGCTCACTTGTCTATTATCATTATTGAAATCTTGTATGTTTTGTCCTCCCTCCATATTGTTTTTACTTCCTCTCCATCTCTCTTTAAATACACGTTAAATTAAATTTGTATAATAATTATAATAAAAAAATTATAAGTTGATCACAGCAGTTCGGAAAATAAACCACCAAACCATGCTAGATAAATTGGCAAAAAGTATGTAAATAGGGCACGTTTGAGAGACATTTGCGAGGTGGTGCCGACAGCGCTGCTGCCCGAACTATTATGGTTAATACTATTACTATCGATTTCATTAATTTTATTGCTTTTGTTTGGATCAACGTTAGTTTTAGTTTCTTTTTCACTTGTGTCGGGTGCGCTGCCAGTGCCACTGTGTCCATTGCCTCCGACTGGATCGACTGGGTGTGTCGTCGATGGTCCGGATTCGTTGATTCCGGGCGTATAGTCAATCGTACCTATACCAGAACCCTCCTCCTCACTATCTTCGATGCTTCCACCGCCTGAGCCCGAACCGCTACCATAGTAGGGCTCCTCTGAAAAATCGAAAAAAAGAATTGATTAAAATTTAATTCGAAACAATAAATAACTGAGGAAAATAGTAAGTTTCCCTGCAATCGATACATACCAACATCAGCCCATTCAACGTCATGGCCATTGTATGCATTTCGCAGTTGGATGACGGTATTTTTCAGCGCAAACAATTGTGCATCGAATGTAGCTGTACGTCTGCTATTCAACGGCGATGGGAATTCGGGATTTGAAGCCTGATCATTGGCAATCATGTGTGGATATCTGAAAGTACAAGGAAATTTCCATTTAATTTAGTTCATAAATTAATTCGACATGTGCATGATTTAGCGTAATTAAAATTAATTCAGGTGGCCAGACGTGCGCGTTTTAAGAGCACAGTCCTCGATTTCGAGTTCAGTCTTCGCGTCCTCGCAAAATTTAAAAAATTAGTCAAAAATGTACAAAATGTCCTCTCCCAAAATGTGAGAGTCTACTTTGTATTATGATCAACGTAAAACATACGTAGTGTCAATACACACATAGGCGTATAAACCCCAACATGCACACACCATATCAACTTTTGCTCAATGTACACAATGTATTAATTTCGCTCTTGCTTAGAATTTTTCATAAAACATTAAACAAGATTGCATGAGATGAGACAAAACATATATTACACACTGGAAAGAGAGGAGAGGAAAAATGTTATCAGGGCTGATTCGAGTTAATGACACTGAACCAAGTATGAACGTTTTAATTTGAATGCATATAGAATGAAAAAATGTGTCGAATATTTTCGTTTTTTTTAATGCAAAATCGAAGTGAGAATATCGCAAAATTGAAAGAAAGATTGACAATTTGAAAACAAAATCTATGTATTTTTTTTTCTTCTAAAGAAATAACAATCTTTTTCTTTATTGAATTGGAAATCTTCAGATGGAACAACGACGTATACTGAATTTTACACGTTATTTTGACACAAAATACATTTTTAGTGGCGAAATCTTTTTATAATTCAAATGTCCTCGTTTTTAATCATTTTCCCGAGGATGTGTCCTCGTTTTTGCTCAGATGCATCAAGCCACCTTAAGCATAATAAATGGTAATTACCTGTCGATTCGATTTCCATTCCAGCAATTCATGTCATTGCTTGGCGATGCGGCAATTTCGTCATTGTTACAAATTTGATACGGCAAATTCGACCAGAATTTTTTGGAATCCTTGACCTTTGTTCGAATGTCTTTAACAAGTTTGTCGAGCGGCGGCTCTTTATTGTCATCGTTGTCATCGTCGTTGCGACCTTTCGAAGCAACATTTGCTCCATTTCGATTGTTGTTCTTATTCTTTCGACGCCCTTTATTCGATGATGAACTTATGACTTCTTCTTCTTCAGACTCACCATCGAATTGGAGTGGCTCAAACACTAAGTCACGATTATTTGCACGTTCTGTTTGAGCTGGCACGGTTTGACGTTTGAAGCGATTCAATTTGCTTGATGGTAAGTCATTTTCATATTCCTGTAGAGATTCAACGTTTGTCGATTCTTCAGCGAACGAAAAGTTGTCAATCGATTCGTCTTTACTAATATCATCAAAGTATCGTTTTTCCGAAAGCAGCAATCGTGGGCTGATTGAGCGGCGTTTGCGTTGTCTTGGGTTCAACTGTGGCTTTCCGCATCCATTGAAAATTTGAGCCGAAATATCTTGCCCAGTTTCCTGAACGTTCAAAGAAGAAATTCGGTTAATATGCGCTGTATTTGATTAGAGTTGTTGAGTGATACTTTACCTGGAAATTCATGATTGCCTCTGAAATTTTGATATTGATTGGTTCAACAACCATAACAATATTGAATGGTCCCAATAATCGTTCGGTGATTTTATCCATTGACTGTACAAAGTTGTCCCATTCAACGTCCAATTCGATGAAATGATTCAAACATCCTCGCATAACATTTACACAGTAATTTGAGCAAGGTTTCTCAACGAATCCTCGGCATGCACCGCATTGTTGCATTTTGGTTAATGCACTGGTGCACTCAGCACCCGGCCGAACAGTTGCCATATTTCTAGCCACTTCAGCTGCCGACGTTATTGCTTGTTCAAATGTTCGTGTTGCCACAAACGATCGTTTTATTTGCCCAGTCAATTTTTCGGGGACATCTCCGAATGGTTTCAATTGTTTCATGTGCTCACTCACACAACCCAAATATCTAATTGAAAATGACGACACAGAAAAAGCAAAGGAAATTCCATTAAAAAATCGTTCACAAACAAATCGTAAATAATTCATGTTCGTGTGCTCTACTCACTTGTCATCGAATTTGTATTGGGAATTCAAAACAACAAACATACGTTGATAAAGTATGTTAAAAAATGAATCCAAAGCCTCGGTTAAATCGACTTTCCCACGATTGTAGTAGTTTTCCAAATCATTGAAAAGATCGGAGAACACGTACGAATTTTGTTCATAAATCACGCCATAAGTTCGCTTGAACATTTCATGGAATTCCGATTTCGACTGGGATAATAAATTTTTGAAGAATTCTGAAAATGGAAAAGAGAGAAAATAGAGAACCACTTAAATAATTTGTCTTCCAAGTGCTGATTTGAAAATCTATTTTCAATTCTTTTTTCTAGTGTAGCGATTGACTGGTTGTGAATGATGTGCATTGTGCAATCTCGAGTGAAACGTACCATTGAAACGGTTGGCTCGTGCCGACAGCACCGATGCTAATTTTCCAATCAATTCTTTGGTATTTCGTTCGAGTGTGGTACGTGAGCTGCTAGCCAATTTGAGCTCCATGTTTTTCGAGCAACATGTTCCAGATGCGGGTGTATCACAATAAACCAAACGAGCGTCTGAAAAGAGAATTGCAAAAAGAAGAGAAAAAAAATCGAATCGTTAGCAGTGATTAAAAATAGATTGCTTAAAAACTACAGAATAAAATTTGATTTCGTTCTCAATGACACGAGAAAGAGAGAGGCGCGCATCGCAACAAACTGACCGAGAATCGATATCCGGATAATAATAGATCAGACTGAATAAAATCCGGTTTAATTATAAATTTCGGTTCGATAAATTTCGGATCGGTTGCAAGTGCAATGTTCGGAATTTGACTTTCAACCGATAGCTTGTTTTGTATGTGTGTGTGTGTGTGCATATGTTGAATTTGGAGGTAAAGGCAATGAAAAATCGATTTCTATTGATACAAATCATTTCCGAAGCGACGTACTACTACATTATTTGCTTGCTTGAAGTCATTTTTCAGGCATCGGGATCATCTTCATTTCAATATTCACAATGCCAGCAATTCGATGGCATTAAAGAAAGATATATATGCATGTGGCTTGAGTTTGATTCCAAACACACGAATGTGAATGTGTAAATAGATAAAGCAAATAATCTGACTGTTTACACTGTCTACTCCGAGTACAAATAATATCATGTTTTTGATTTCCAAGCAAATTCATGCTCAACACTTTTCCACACATAGACACAACCACACACATTTTCTCGACAAAACATTTCATTCCAATTTTCGAGACGATGATACATACGGGATCCAACATCATCGTCAAAATTGTTTAATGTTTTGGACAAAATATTTTCGGTATTATGTGTTCAATGTTTGTGCAACGGATTCCGTGTATTGCCCAATCGACAGCCTATCGACTGTTTATTCGACTAATGCAACCAAATAAACGCATTCGGTCAAAAGAAAATCCCCACTGAATGGGTAATGTTGCGTCTGATATCAGTAAGTCGATTGTTGAAAGATATGACAAGTGATTGTTTGTATAAGACTTTTTCAAACAATCTTTGTAAATGGAGAAAACCTTTTATGCGATCGCTGGCAGCGATAACGAGCTGAAGGTGTAGAAATATATAACTCATAGAAGTCCTATCAAATTGATATGAATCGCTGCATCGATATAGCTCAATTACTGTCGAATATATTCTGAACCATGCATTCTGCTGAAAGCGAGAGAAGATTAATTTTTGTTCGCACGAAATTTGATAGATATTCAAATTACGTTGTCAAGTGTGGTCTCGTTTTGCCTGCTCTGTTTTAAAAATAAGCCATCTGATTAAACATAGTGACTGAATTCGAAACGCACATGTGGAGTCAATGAATAATAAATTAAAGTCGAAATTTCGTGAGTTCATCATTAGACAGGGAGGCAAGAAAAGTAGCTGTGAAAACATTTATAGCAACGGCCGCATGTCTGGCGTATCTGAATGAAATCAACAACAACGATACAAAATATACTTGGGCAATGTTATATAGAGCGATTGTCAATTGAATTTTGTTTACATAAAATTAGTGTGAATGAGTCTTCTGCTATTTAGATTTCAATGTGAATTTAAAAAGAGTGTAATTTAATGTACAAAATTTGTGGAAGTATCGTCATTTGAAAGGCGAAAATATCGCCGTGTCAAAAATGACATAAAATATTTTGGAGTGTTTTTTTATTTGAGAACGAAGCGATGGGGAATTTTATGTGATGTATTTTTATGGCTTTCATATTTTTTTATAGCCAAACAGACGCTTATAATTTCCTCGGTAAAAATCTCTTCAGGTAGCCACAATCATGCAGGCAATGCCACATTTTTCATTCGACTATTTGCACATCGGCATCCTACACAAAAAGCCGTGTTCGTGGCTGTGTTTGTGACGGTGCACTGATACACGGTATTTGGTATTTCTTTTTGTATTGGCGTTCAATTCCAGCTTTGATTTATTATGATGTTTGTCGCATCGCAGAGGAATAAGAGGTAAAAGGCTGAAATCCTGTAATAAAATTTCCCGTATTTATCAATAAGTAGGCAGGTGAACGTTGACGAGTGTGTGGTTGTTGCATTGCTGGCGTGCGTGGCAATAAACGTATTTCGATTGAATTTATATTCTTTTATCAGTTTTATCAAGAACACGTTGAACAACTTCGATATTTATTGAAATTCCTGAATAAAAAGCCGAGCACAAAAGCCAAACAACACCAACTGAATTGCGTTCAAACAAAAAAATGATTTAATCCATAATAAAGAAAGGTTTTATCGTGCGTTTGATTTGAAGAACTGAATCATCACATTCTCTTTTCGTTTGCTCGCATTTATTATACGAATGGAATGGAACTATCAAAGTCATGCACGCACACACACTGTGAAATTAACTGGTGTGAAGCCTTAGATAAGATTAATTGAACAATTGACTTGAAAATATGTCAAACAATCTCGTTTTCCCAATAAATCAAATTGATTGGAGAATCAATTGTCGTTGAGTACTGCTTTTAAGTGGATTGGAATTTGGTTGCCTCGAATTTGCCGATATGAATATGGTTGGCGCGATTTCAACTTTGCAAAATGCCAATGACTTCAATCGAAAAACACTCAAACAGATGAACGCCCAATCACAATCGTTCTAAGACAGATATGACATTGTTTCGACGGTTGATGCAGTGTTCGAAATACTGAGATTTGTGTTAGTTATTCAGGGGTCACATAGATAATAGCGTTCTGAGTTCGTCGATTATAATTACGTTCAAACATTAGCTTATCTGTTCATCCATAATACACCAATTTATTCATATTAAAGTGCTGGGTTTAAAAGCCATATTCTCAACTCAGAATTCCTTTGATTCTTGAATAAGTCTTGCGATAAAATATCATGGCTCCGGCAACAACATATCAAACAAAAGGTAGATAAAATAAAAGGAGAAATGGATGCATGAGAAAAACACATGAGAAAAAATTCTGAAATTCCACAACGCACACACATCTATAGAACGTCTGGCACATTTTCATTAAGGGAATGTGTTTGAGCTCTTGAATGACGGTTTGAAACAATAATAAAAGACAGAGAAAACCATACATTTGAAATAGTGCTTATATAATCTCAAGTTATGTTTTTTCTCTCTCTTAACTTTTCTCTCAATTTTTTTATGTTACATTTCGTATAGCAGCAACAATCACCTATTATCCTTTTTTCAATGCAGTCTTAGCTGCTTTTATCTCGATTTAGATGATACAAATGAAAGAAAAATATGTGTATCAAACAATGCGTTAACAACCCAGCAACATTTTTGACAATGCAACATTGACATCGACACTACGAAACCGGCAATTCAATTCAACATCCCACACGAACGCTTCGATAGATAAAGTCAGTCACCGAATGCAGTCTTAGCCGTTTAAAAACTGTACGAGACAGTGACAAGAGAAAGAAGGAGAGAGAAATAATTGATCCAGCCTGAAATACATTGTAATTTTTTGTAATTGCATACAAATCTGGGATAGAGCATAGACGAAACAGAAAAAAACAACATCTATACCAGCTATGCGACGATCAGAACCAACGGGATAAAAAAGACAAACGCACCAAATGACGGGGAACGAAGAGGAGAGGAAACGAAAAAAAATACACACACAAATCAAATATATTGTGAAGAGTTTGCAGACACTTGGCGCCTTTGGTTTGTTGCGAAAAAAAACTATACACACATTTTAACAAAAGCTTTTAACTGCATCTCTTCGGCATTATGTGCCGTTCATTACGTTTTATTATAAATGCGGTCCTTTGGATATTCAAGCATGCGATGAATGATGATGATGCCAAGTGTAAATTACATGAAACGAAACAGATAACGAAACGTGAAGGAAGAGAGCAAAAAAGCACGCAAATACTCTTTTTGACTGGGTCATTAACTCATGTAGGTCCAAATAGGATAACAATAACAAAAAGTGCAAACAAAACACAAAGAGTTTATTACTTTGAATGAATGCTGACGCGTCAGAAATAAAACTAAACTCGAGTATCTGGAATCTAGTCTGGAATGCGATTTTTCGGTGTTTCAAAAATTTTTCTATTCTTCGTATGCGGGTAATTTTTCATGTTTGGCACTGTGAAAATAATTTCAGTCATTGTGTTCACTTTTATATCGGCGATGTCTCTTAAGAGAGATGAGCAACAAACTATCAATCTGCTGTCAAGTGTTAAAAATGAATTACTCGACGTTTTTAGGGAACCTGAATCCTTATTGCTTCGTCTCTCTCTCACTCTCTGTTTCGCGTTTGGGTAAGGTGTGCATTCGCTTAGAGGCATTTTTTTATATGCCCATTTCTCTACCTATATGCTCATGTCTTCTTTTGATCTTTTCTCCACTCGAAAACCGTGTTTTCACTTTGGACGAGCGGCTGCAGAAGCAGCATCGGCAGATTTGAGCGGCGAAATGACAAATGAAAATACAAGAGCAAGAGAATACAAGAAACATCGTTATGATATGCACAGACTCAGGCATAATAATAATAGAAGCAATAATCAGTAAGCGGCAATACTCATTTATTAATTCTCTCTCTTTCTCTTTATGTCTTTTGGGAGCATCAGAGTTTCTCAAACATTCAAAGCCTTGGAAATGGATGTGCGCACAATAAAAACAAATCTTTATTTGCTGTCCGTTGCTATATAGCCCTATAATTCGTTCAAACATTACTCCTGCGCTCCCGCAACCAAACTATTCAGCATCAATTCGGTTTGATTTTGGTGCAGTCAAACGGAAAAAAAGGAACGAGCAAAGCACAAAAATGTCGGAGAATCCTAAATTAGGTATTAACGGCTATTACTTTACACAAGTACTTCTATTATCTATTATATGAGTAGTTTGTTTAGTTAAGCATTCAAAATAAATTGTACAGACCATACAGCCATACAGCAATATGCTCAAACAACTACAAATAGCTATTGAATTCTGTCGTCATTCTCTCAATAAATCGGTGGCAAACGGTTGAAGAAGCATTCATACACATTTGTGTATTATATTGAATTTAATTTGTTTTTTATTTAAATAAACAAGGATGAATGGTT